GGCAGGGAGGCTCCCCCGTCGATGCCGCGTACTCCTCTCGCCGAGCTGGAGTACCGGCGTCGACGGCGAGCACTTCCGGGATCGATCCGGGATCAATTTATCGCGTCTTAATCAGACGCGATAAATCGATCCCAGAACATCAATTGCCTGCCGCCGGACCCTCCGGTAAGTGTAGACGTACCCTAAGTGTGATATTCAACAAACAAAGCAACCACAGATATCCAAATGTAAATCCACTTTCGGCAATTTACTAAATAAATATAATAAACTCAAACATACACAGTCACTACATGTGGTTCTACCTACCCCATATTGTCTGGGCTCTCCAGAAGTCTGGGATTTTCCTGACAGTTTTAACTGATCTTCTAGTTTCTGAATTTCTTGCTGAAACTCATCACGTTCATGTTCTCGCTCTATAGCTTGTTCCTGTAAGATGAAAAAAATTGTTTTTAATTTTTGCTATGAGGAAGCTGATGTTTGCATTTTCCTTTTTTCTTGCATTTGCTTGGCAGTTCTAGAAGCCAGGTAAGAATTTACAGGGACAATAGGAGATTATTATTTCAATTTACAAAACAAATGAACAGCAAAAACATGGAAAGAAAAACCTAATTTCCATACTCCTATAGATCAGGAAACTTTTAAAAACAAACAAACAATCATCCTTGGTTTTACAAGGAGAAACACAAACGTCTTATTTTCGATAAAACCAAAACTATCCTGGAAGAGACTTATCACAAAATAGGAGGAAGTGTTTTTCCTCTCCAAAGCTGCAGAAATTGGGTGTTGAGCTTGCTTACATCCATGAACTGTCGTTGACTTCTAAGCTGTTTTTCAAGGACTTGAATTTGCTGCCTTAGATCAGTAACCTCCAATGACTTCTTTGCCAACTTCTGATTTTGATCCATCTGTTCTTCAAGTTCCACTTCCAAAACCTTCATCTGAGAGCGCAAGCTGGAATGGTCCTTCTCTGCCTGGCACTGCAGTTCTAACTTCTCTTTTGCTAAAAATTCTACTTCCTTTAGTAAACCTAAACACATACAGAATAGTAAGAGAGTTCGTCAGTCAGTCCAGACATATGCAAATCAAATGTTGTTTAAAATTATATTTTATGCATATAATACACACACGCACACACACCTCTGCAACACGTCAGCACCAAAGGGGAAATTTTCAAATACATAAAGAAGAGAGAGGCACCCAACTCCCCCACTGTGTCTTTGAAAATCTTCCCCATAGACAACAAAATAATTACATATGCAATATCAGCAATGTCCAGTGGAAATAAGTCATAGTTCATGATTACTTGATTAACCAATCTATGGCTACAAATTGAGCTTTCAACAAACAGGATATACTGTTTGGAGGATCCAAACTAGGATCCAAACTAAGATCCCAGCATAAAGGCTTTTTGGAAAACATCAAATTAATTCTAACACTTATCTGGTTGTAAGTGACCTGAACACACAGATGAGAATCAGGAAGTCTAACTTTTAAATGTATTATGATTAAAAGGAGGGTGGTGAAAGAACTATTATTCTGCCTTTTAAATGTGCAATTTGTATCTTCATTATTTGCAAAAAAAGCTTTTCCTTACTGTAGCAAAGAGGTGTGGCCTCCCTCAGAGACTGGCAGCGAGGGTGGACCACACCCACCTGGTGCACGGAACCAGGAAGTTGACGCCACCACTCCAGAAGCAGAGAGGCGGGACAGGAACAGGAAGCATAAAAGGTGGGCCTGTAGCTCACTTGAAGAGGAGCCGCCGAGGGAGGCAGACGCTTCCAGCTCACCGTTGGAACTGGAGTCTGCGGAAGACTTCTGCTGCCCTGAGGACACCTCCCAGGGACCAGGTTTGCCAGACACGCCCGACGCTGAGGAGCTGCTGGGATTGCCACTGGCAGTATACCCTGAGGAGACGGAGGACGACTCCAGGGTTCAGGTACACGTGAGGGGGAGTGTAGGAACCAGCCAGGGGAACCAGATGACCATCTAGCTGTGGGGCCGCCATAAAAGAGACAGTCAGCGTGTTGCAGGTGGATTCCACACTGACCCAGTGGCAGACCATTCTGCCGCTGTTAGGGCCCTGAGCTGGAACACCGTGGAGTTGGGCAGGCCTGCATCCCTGTCCCCACCACCACCACCACCACCACCACCACCACCACCACCCTTAGACCAAAAGGCCTGCTTTTGTCTGTTGCCCACCAGACCCAGGACAACAGACTGGGGGGTATTCGCCCTGACGGAGCACCTAGACTTAACCCAGGCTGGTGCCCCTGACTGTTTGCTGGGTGCTTAATCCCTGTCCTGAGCCCCACAGACTGTAGGTAGTGCTCGCCCTTGCACGAGGGGGCCAGTGCACTAGATTGCAAGGCGCCCCGGCTTGCCCAAAGGCCTGGGCCCCTGAACTGTCCCTAACTACAGTACCCCGCTTGACGGCTGGAACCCTAGACTGTTTGGGAGTCTGCCTCGTCTACAGGCTTGGGCCCCCAGAATCATTCACTCTCTCCCAACTGAGGACTGGGTCCGCAAGACTGCTAACTTCCCCCTTTGATAGACTACTACTCCAGGGGGGTGACAGCAAAGAGGTGTGGCCTCTGTCAGAGATTGGCAGCGAGGGAGGGCCACACACCCCTAGACACCTCTACAATTACCAACATCTAGAAATTCACTGAGGCAAGAGGATTCAGTAGATAGTGTTGTCACCTTTTAACTGTTTTCAGATTTGTAAGTGCCCACAGTAGAGTTTTGAAATAGATTTAAATGAAAAACAGACAAATTTCAGCCACCAAATGTCAGATTCATACTTCTCAAGGAAGAGTTTGAAAAAACTGGTGGACACAGCAATTTTATCCCCGCCATATCGTGAGTAACAATGGAGAATGAACTATATATTTTAACTGATGAGTAGCTGAGTCTTTTTAGCTTTAAAATGAGTTTTACTGCCATCTGTGGAACAAAAAAACTGCTTAAATGAGAATTTGAAATTTAAAAAAAAATTCTTACGACCTACCTTCTATTCAAAAAAGCCAGTATCTGTATGGAATCTAATTAGGCCCATAAACTATGTAGAATGGGAAATTTGTTGCCAAAACTTAATATCTGATTGTCCATTAATGCAAGGTCAGTAACTGTACTCTGCTTTGACAGTCTTGTTATTTTTCTCTCCTTTTGGTGTTACATAGCAGTCTGATTCTCAAAATGTATAGGTACATAATTAAAGGTAACACTAACAGATTGTCAGGTCACTGATTTGACTCTGAGTAGGGAATCAAATTGAAATTGTTTTATCAATGCTAGCTCAAGTCATGCAATCCCTCTTGAGTGACTCAAAAATCACATTAGAAACTGCTATGGTAGATTCCATTAGGAAGCTCATTTTTCACATCAACGTAACACAGCTTTGTTGGCTCGTCCAAAAATAATAATAAAAAACGTAAGTGAAATCCAGTATGATTTTTATACAAATACCCAGCACTACAAACAGTAATTCCAAACAAGAGGAAGAGTACTATTTTAAATTTTAAAAAATGTGATTTGTTAAATTAGAAAAAATAAAAAAGGAAACGTTATAGCTTCACACTCCTAGTATAAGTAGCTTGTTAGGCCTTTAACAGTTAACTTCTACAATAGCTGGAGTTTAACTAGATGGTGAATTTTAAAACCCAATCTTGTTTACATATCACAGCCAGACTCTCAATCATGCCACAGGGTCAGATTTAAGGACAAGGGCCTAGTAGGCATGTGAGGGTAAGTCTACACTGCGACAAAAAAAAAAAAAAAAAAAAAAAAATCCCATAGTAGCATTTGAGAGAGAGCTGGAAGACATGTGGGAGCTGGACAAACGAAAGGAATGGAGCTGCAGCAGTTGGAGAGAGAGCTCAGCACTGCCTTCTCCCTATATCCTAGACTGTGATCTGGCCAGATAATCCCACCTCAGCTGCCTGAAAAATGCAGCCCCCCAACTCATGTCCTTCCCCCACAAGCCTAGAGCTGTCCTAGCATGCACAAGTATCCCAGGATATACATTTTGGGGCTTCTCAGAAGAAAAGCATTGCTCCTCTTAATTTATCAGAGCCATATGTTCATTACACACACAACCATGTATAGAGAAAGCAGTATGGCTGCACTTTTGAGCTAACTCAAAATTTCTCATTTGCATATAAAAGCAAAACTTCTGTTTGCATTTATTTTAGCATTTGACTTCAATAGTCATTTAAAACCATTTGTCTCCCTTATTTTTCTATTCATTCCTTCCTCTGAGAATCCTTTCCCCCCCCTCTATCTTTTCCACTATTTCCCTTCGGATTTATTTTTCCTCCTCTATCAATTTCCCCTGTATGTTCTTTCAAGAGAACTCGTCCTTCCCTTTAGTCCATTCTTACCTTTCTCCTGTCCTCCTCCTCCCCATTCCTACTCTCTCTTCGTTCTGCCACCACAATACTCCTTCCAGTTCCTTCAATTCTCTTTCATTCACCATCTCTAGGTCTCCTGTACTTGGTGTTGCTACATTTTAAGAATACATTTACCCTCTAAGAAGCCCAGTGCCACACAATTAGAACCTCATAGCAGATTTATAAAACATTTTTGTCTGCTCAAAACAACAATTTTTGTTGCTTATAATTGCACTGTGGAATTTAAGACTGACATCAGACTGATATCATTTAATAAATATCAATTAATGAATTAAGTTTTTAACATAATTCAAGTTTAGTGATTTTTGTTAAATTGTGAAAGTAATGTCTTAAACATGTCCACAATATTAATAATAATTTATTAAATTAACTAAATTTATTGGGCATAGTTCTGAAGTACTATTCCTCTTTGTTAGATTAAATTCAAAGTCATTAATTAATCCACATCATTTCTCATGAAATCACACTGTTACAAACCTGAATCTTCCTTTTTTGCTATGTTAACAACAGGAACTCCTATGAATAGAAACACGTACAAGACAAAAATAGGACATTTTGATTCATTCCATCTTCCAGATCACTAATGAATTTAACACAGAATAGGGATAATGCCAAACTTTGTAGCATTCCTAAAGGTAACCTGTCTCAATGTGGAGAAGTAGTAGCTAATCATATATGCTGACCATGCATTACTGTTTTTATATAGCCCATTTTGGGTACAATTTTGCCAGGCACCTGGACATGTCTTTACTGAGGTCCTGTATCTACTGAATTCTTTCATTTGGCAATTCTTCCCCAAAGCTTCATGTGTTTCTTACTTTTTTCCTTGCTAAGTACTCAGAGCTCCTTTAACCTCTAAATCAGTCGTACACTGAAAAGCACTACAGAGACTCTAAAATAACTGGACAGTGATATCCTGACATTCCATTATTTCCAGTGGGACACATGACTCAAAGTCATAACCACCTGGCAACATAAAGATCACAAAACAACATCAGTGTGTCCTGATATGATTATTTTGTCTCTCTCTGTGGATGTCTGAAACTCTGTCATCCTACATATGGCAGAAAATATTGTTTCTCCTTTCTCTCTTCCCCCCCCTTTCTAGAAGCACTGGTCGGGGCAAATATTCTGGTGGACCTTATGTTGTAATCAGTCCATTGCTTGCTCATGACAAACAGTGAGAGCTCAGCAGAGGCCTGTGAAGTCTACAAGTAGAGCAAGTTAGTGTCACAGCCACCACAGGTTATTTTCACTACTCAAGTCTTAGATTTTCCTCTAAAGATATAATTATCTTTCCTCAGGCTAATACCATTTCTGAGATTTTGATACAGTGCCTCCGTATCAGCTAATAGAGACAAAACATCAAGATTTTTGATGGCATCATCCTGTGAGAGGAATGTAGGGTTGCAGGAGCCAGAGAGTAGGGAAGAGCCATGGGGACAGGGCAGAGGGAGACAGGAGATGGAGTGGGTGGATAGGAGCGGAAGGGATAGGTGTCAAGAGACAGAGGTTGGAGTGGTGGATAGGAGTAGCATAGGAGGAGAAAGGCAGGAACCAGAACAAGGGGTTGGATAGGAGCAGAGGGGGGAGAGGACAGGTGGTAAATAGAAGAGGAGAGGTGCAGAGCCTGAAGGTTTGGAGGCAAACGGGAGCAGAGAGGAACAGGGATTTTGGGGGGAGGGTGGATACTCGGGACAGAATAGTCTAAAGAATGCCTGAAATTGAACCCAGTAGCCCGGAGACTCTCCATTCCTCTGCTGTGAGCAAATAGCTGTCTAGTTGTCTAGACTCCAGATCATTAAAGCCTCCTCCTAGTTGTCCCTCCTAGATTGCTTTCCCCAGGGGTTTTGACTCACTGAATTCTAGTCCGTAGGGAGTTTATAGCAGATGCCCATTACAATTTATCCTGCATCTTTAATTATTTTAGCCTTATCCAAGTTATTTAACTACTTCCTGCATTTTCAGTCCATTTCCTTGGTACTGTAGTGGTGTTCTAGAGCTTGTCTACGCTACCACGTGGGATCGATCTAAGATACGCAACTTCAGCTATGTGAATAGCGTAGCTGAAGTCAACATACTTAGATCTATTTACCACGGTGTCTTCACTGCAGTAAGTCCACAGCTGACGCTCTCCCGTTGACTCTGCTTACGCGCCTCATTCTGGTGGAGTACCGGCGTCGACAGGAGAGAGCTCAGCGGTCGATTTTTCACGTCTATATAAGACGCAATAAATTGACCCCTGCTGGATCAATCGCTGCCTGGGAGGTAGTGTAGACAAGTCCCTAGCGACACAGATCTACTTCTTTTTCCCTTTCTCTCCTGCCTATGCTCTATCAGTTAACTAAATTTTAGTTGACAGATCCTCATGATCAATTACATCACCTTCCATTCAGTATCACTTTTAGTTCATCATGCTTATTTTTCCATACTCCTTCCATTTGTCACTAGACATTGGAGTACTTCTCATTAACAGCAACATCTTATTTCTAAAAACAGAAGTGTCATGTCTGGGTTTATTTTCAAAGTTAACTGGAAGTCCCTGCTCTACCCTTTCCTGTCCTGAGCTATTCAATCGACCATTATACAAAAGAAATATCAATAAATGTTATTAAAGCATTACTTACCAACTTCTATTTCTCCTACGTTGGCAGCCAGAGCTTTCTTTTGACTTATTAACATATCCCGCTCCTCACAGAGTATTGCCTGTTCCTGGGTTAGCTTCTGAAACTGTTCCTGCAAGCTCTCCAGTTCCAAAACAAGGCGTCGTTCAGACTCTTCTTTCAGGCTCATTGCCTCTTCTAAGGCTGCTTTCTCTACTACATAGCCTTCAATGATACCTAAAATCCAAAGGTAAACTAAAAGTGTAGACACTGAATTTCTTACCTAAAGTACTATCAACTAACTATTGAAACTATCACCAATAGGAAGGGAAGGTTACTCACTTTGTGCAATAACTGAGATTCTTCGAGATGTGTGTCCCTGTGGGTGCTCCACTTCGGGTGTTGGTGCATCCCAGCACTGCTGATCAGAGATTTACAGTAGCAGTGTCCCCGCAGATCATGCGTGCGCAGTAGGCGGGTCGTGGTGCCGTTGGTGCCACATGTAGCGTGCACACGACCCAAGGCCTCCAGTTCCTTCTCTACCACAGGGTCCCTACTGCGAACTCTGAAGTAGAGGGTGGGTAGTGGAGCTCTCACAGGGACACACATCTCGAAGAACCTCAGTTTCTGCACAAGGTGAGTAACCTTCCCTTCTTCTTCGAGTGCTGTCACTGTGGGTGCTCCACTTCAGGTGACTGTACAGCAGTGCCCCTCAGGGGACTTCGGGTTTGTTTGAGTCATAGAGGTAAGTATTGTGAGACTCACGATGGTGTCACTCCTGGAGTCATGAGTGATTGCACACTGTTCAGCAAATGCGTGGACAGAGGCCCAAGTGGCTGCCTTACAAATCTCTAATATTGGAACATTACGTAGAAACGCTATTGAGGTTAAAACAGATCTAGTAGTATGTGCTCTAATGTGTTCCGGTGGTTCTGTATTCTGCATACGATAGCACAGTTGAATGCATGTGGAGATCCAGCTAGACAATCTCTGAGTAGATATTGTGTCTCCTTTTGAACGCTCAATAGTAGAGACAAAGTCTAGGAGAATTCCGGAAGGGTTTGGTCTTTTCAAGGTAAAACACTAGCACACGTCTAAAGTCCAGTGGGTGCAGGGTGGCCTCTCTTGGATTCCTGAGAGGCTTAGGATAGAATGTAGGGAGATGGATTGGTTGGTGCAGATGAAATGTAGA